CATCACTGTCACGTTTTCTTAGTCATAGAACTCGTATAATACACATTGGGTTTTTGTTCTAGACCTCTATTTGAATACCACATTAAAACGAGTGAAGACCTATGAAATGTCCATTAAAGAAATGGTATGCTCCAGGGTTTTTTTTCTTAACACTCAAATCATGTGGACATGTTTGGAAGATTTGGGAGAGTTAATTTAACAATTGTGTTTTTGGCCATTGGATTGACAAGCACTTTCTGGTCTTGAAGTTGCTCCAGGCTTCCAGACTACACTTTTTGCAGTTGGTCTGCACTGGTCGCCTACTTTTTTTTTAGTCACAGAGACCAAGAAGTTTAGGTGACCCAAATTTTTCCAATTGGTCGCCTTGGTAACGCCATAAGGTCACCTTTTCATCTCTATCATTACTCTCATATCAATGTGAATGCAGTTTTTAAAGCAAGGAATTACGGTGTGAGGAACATGCTTGTTTTATTTGAATCACAAGGTCGGCGTTAGTGTATAGTCAAAAGAAAGATGCCAGGGAAATTGGTTTCAGCAATGCTTGGTGAACCAATCAGGGGAGGCAAGCGGACGGCCGGCTCGAGCTCTGTCTCGTTAAGGCGCCGCCTTGTTGGTGAGGAACACTGATGATGAGTCCTAACGTAGTGTGTGAGGTTCGGTCACAGAGCAACACAAAGACGGATGAGCGCTTGCGAAGAGCTGAAGTTGTATGGTTGTCTGGCCCGGAGGTCAGGGTGCACCAGTGGCGACGCTAGAAGAGAATTAGGGAAAAATTATTAGTCGCACTCTTGTGCATGTGCGACCAATAAATAAAAAATAATGATCAGATCAGATAGACGAAGTTGTGCTGAAAAAAAAGATACCAAGCATGGGTATGGCAAACATTTTTTTATGTGTTATGTAAAGGCAAAATCAAAAGTATTCAAAAATGGCCAAAATGGGCTCAGACCCCAATGCACGTGTCATTTTATTTTGTTTGAATCAGAAATTTAACTTGATGAAAGTTGATAAAATTGCCTGTAACAAATTAGAGTGTTTTAATTGGTTTAATCTAAAGTAAAAACTATGCTTGGATGTAATTGTTAATATTAAGTTTTTCATTTTTTCAGTGTGCTGTTGGTGCATCTTACTGGAATTTGGAGTTCATGTGTGTTTGCGTTTAAGGGAGCTTGTGTAAGATGTTGATGTAATTCTCTAAAGCAGTACGTATGTTTTGGTGCTGAGTTTGTGACACACCTAGACTTTGCATGTGTCAGAGTTCTTCCCTGGAGGTAAAATTCATAACAGAACTGTCAAACTCTTCCTTGCCCAGTTGCATTCCAGACCAGATCTCCTGTTTCAAACTGAACATTTGAGCTTTAGGATATTTTTCTTTTGTCTTTGGCTTTTTTTCTTTTACAGACCACATGTCTATGCAGTAGAGCGTTCACACGGAATGTTTATTTGAAAACTAAATACAGATACAACACAGACTTTCTATTCAGAACCAAAGAAATGCTGACTAATCCGACCCTGAACCCAAACTGTATCTAACGATTACTAATTAATGTTTTTTTTAATAATGGCCATGTCAATACTATTATCTATGTTGTATTATATGTTATAAGATTTGTATTAAATATAAGCCCCTTTTGAGCTGTTTCTTTTTTTTTTTAAATTGCAAAAAATAATAAATAAATAATAGATTTTAACACAGGCCAAATAAGTCAGCTCATAAAGTAGCTGTTTCCTTCAAAATGTGCAGTATTTTATAATGACGGTAATCAGGCATTGATAAGTTTGACACCCAGACTTGTCAAGCTGTTATCACATTATGCATCAGTAGCTGTCAGTTAATTACAGTGTGTTTGGAAACAGGAATTTTCCATGACCGAAGCCAGTTTGGGAAGACAAAAGGTCAAAAGAATATGTGAGAATGTCTGTTGGAGAGTAAACAAGATTGTACACATACAGTATATATAGACGGAGACAAAGAAAGTGCTGGTCCTCCACTCAGAGAGGCAAATCAGTGCAAAAGCATCCAGTGATACTTCTCAGACACAGAGCTGCTTGGCGTCCCTGGTGTCCTACAATTTGTCCAGAGGGTAAGAAAACCTGCAAACATTTTTTAATTATTCTGAAAATAAAATGTTGGGGTTCTTTTTTGGTTAGAAATATTCTTACTTCACTAGGAAAATAAACATGCATGAATATGTTTGCCGCATTATTATTAGTATTCCTGCAGAAGAAATGATCTTTGCATCTATGATCTTTTGCAGATGACAATTCGGTCATCAAAGACATAGCTGTTAAATAAATTCCCTACTAGTGCTGACAGTTTACAGGAGCTGATTTCTTCATTTGAGACATATGGTCTGAAATGAGTGAGGTGTAGGCAAGTGTGGGGAACATCAGCACATTTAATCTGCTCCCACCTAACATTAATAATTAATGTACAAGGAAAGGCTCATTAAAGGTCCATGTCTGCTGAACGTTGTTTTATACAAAATGGACAGCTCGCTGTTTATTTCTTTAAACAGAAACTATATATTTAGGTGCTGATGTGGCTCCATAGAGATGTTAATGTCAGTTGGTTTGTCTATCTCTTAGTCCAGGGCTCAGCAACCTTTACTATCAAAACAAGTGTCTTATCCCCTGGGGTAATAAAGTACTCTAGACTAAAATATTTTATCTTTGTTAGCATTACAATAGTTAATTAAATAGAGTTAAGGCTGGCACATACAAAATTAAGCAGTTGAATTTTGAAATGCAGACGCAAAATTTTCTTAAAGGTTTAATAAAAAGAGTACGACCTCTCATCAGACCCCAGGGACAAAAAGATGATGACATACACTGAAAAAAGAAAATTGTTGAACCAACAAATTGTTTCAATTGGTAACACCTAAATGATTTCTTGAAGTTCTTTAAAATTAAGTTAATAAGTTAGATTAACACAATTGATTTAAGTCACATGTACTTAATAATTCAATTATTCTCAAATCAACATTTTGCATTAATCCAACTTAATATTAAGGCAAGTCAACTTAAAGTTTTCAGTTTTTCCAACTCAATAATTTGCATAACCCAAAAGTAAAATATTGCTCTTTTCTAACCTAATACTATGGTTTAGTGTAAATTACTTTTTGTAGTAACATTAAAATGAAATTTTTGTTTATTTAATATAACTAAAATTACAATTTTAAGTTGGCTGAAAATATAAAAAAAACTCAAAATCGGATGGTTTTTTTTGGATACTTTATTGTATAAATGTAATGACCAACACATTACACATTTGTCTTTTGAATCACATATGCACAAGTAACTGTTAGTAGGACCACAAAGTTATTTTGTCAGAAAAGTGCAAAATAGTGCAACAAAGTATTAACACAAATATGCCTAACAATCTCAACACATACAGTGCTATCCCTAAGTGCTAAGTGCCAAGAGTATACAGAAACTTTAACCAGCTATAGCCAATGAATATTATGCATTGAACAGTGTAGCTAACCAATGGCGATGGAAAAATATGAATTTTAAATCACACTGTTAGACACTGTCACAACAGTTTGTTGTATAATTAAACACATCAAAACTGAAATGCAACCTTTCCTACACACATGGAATGAAATATGTCTGGAAGAAAAAATAAAAGTTAAATGACAATGACAATGAAGCCAAGAGTACAAGTGTTAACTATACTACAAGGCACGACTACTGTGGAGGAGACAGCTAATATTTGTAGCGCGTAGTGCTTAAGAGTGGTCGCAGGTTCGGCTGGTGGGCAAAGGTTCTGGAAGTCTGTGTAGAGTTCCAGGGGGTGGGGTTAGGGTTAGGGCAGGGGTTCTGAGTAAAGGGTTGGGGCAAAGTCCGGTTAGCTTCCCTGGTGTTGGGAGCATCGTATGCCAGGTGACCGTTGGCAGGGTTTGGCTGGTGTAGGAGCGAAGGCTGGGCCTGAGGTCACTGCTTGGTGAAGAGCGAAGCTGGGGCCTGGAGGTCCTGCAAACTATTAGCCTGTACAATAAAAATTGTTGTTACAGCTCAAGTTTAAAAAGGCCTGTAAACAATCACCTGCATTTCACATTTACTGTAACAGTTGAAATTATGTTAATATCTTTTTCACTTCAACACACCATCCTCTAAGTTACATACAGCACATTTCAGCTGGCTCTAGCACTCTATTCTAGTCTAGGTTGCAACTTACCTTTGGTAGTCCAAATGAGTTGTGTCCTGGCCTGAAGTAACCACCGCCAGTCATGAAAAAAAATATAAGAAAACTAGGAATTAATTAATATTAAAGAAAAGGACATTTTCATTCCAGTGTTAAATTTGATTTGTGTATGAGCAGCACGCATCAATTTACACAGAGCACCTCGAGCGGGCGGAAGCCAGGCACAGAAAAAGCAAAGAGAATCCGGTGGATTTTCAAAATAAAATACCCCGTGCAAACTGCCGGTCGTAAAAACAGACAAATGCGAAATAATTAACTAATTAACTACGTAGCATATTTACACATGTAGAAGCATGTTTAGAAGAACATACACCGGGAAAATGGCCAAATCTGAGCAAGTAAACAAAGTCTGGCGGGCTAAACGCTCGCTTCTGAAACGCTCCCGGTGGAGTCTGAAGTCGCGTGCAGGACGGACCAAAATCGCAGTGTGTACGCGACATGCAAGAGACGTGTGCAGTGGGGTTTCACACCTGGTAACTGATGTAGGACAGGGAAGACAGCAGTCTGCAGCAGCAGACACAAACTAACACAGGTGCTTATTAACACATTGGCACAACAACACTTGGGAAACTCTTCACACAGCAAACATTTATCACCACTGCCTCAATAATATCTAGCGTAAATAGGAAGGCAGCCCTGCCACCAAGGCACCGCACACCATCTATTTCCTTTCCCACAGCCGATCCGTGCGTGTACGAGCGCTGTCTGCACCCTCTCTCCTCTCCCTCTTAACGTCAACTACATTGAAAACAACGCAGGTGGAAGCAAATTCACGCTTCCCGGAAGCACCACAGTTTAAGCATAATTAACATTACCTCCCACATCACCCATAGCCGTGACCGCATGAACTGTGCGCGCCGACAGGCACGTGAACCAACACTCGAATATAAATGCGTGCGCCCTAAGTAGTCTGAAGAGAACCGCGACACAGCTTGTTGCGATAATGGGCTAAGGCTAATGAATAGCTCACACGAAGCCAACACTAACACACTGCATGAATACACAACTGTAAGCTAACGTTACGATATTAAACCAAGAGAGTCCCGCTGCAAATTACTATCAGGTGAAGCTCTATGCAGCAGAGTGGGTGAGTTGCTAGCCCCACTAGCTGTCCTGGATGCTAGCGGATGTTAGCGGCGGATTCTATCCGACTCTACTTTTAACAAATTTAACAACACAGTTGGACAATTTAACATTTCAAATGATTCGTTTTACCTCTGACTTACCTTCAAAAACGATGGAGACAGTGGTAATTCAGTATCTATCTTCTTCCCAAGTTGTCAGAGCCGAGAAATTGGCGACTCAAGTGCAGGTAGGAAGTTCTGGAGAAGGCGGAGAAGTCATGACGACCAAATGAGAATAGCAGGTTACATGTGTGCTGAGGGAACAACATGTAATTCCAAGTTGATATACTCCACAAATGTAGATTGCCTAAGCAGAAATCTGAATGAAACTAACTCAGAACTTTACGCTACTTCAACTACTGCTGAAATACACTTTTTAGAGTTTAGATTTGTTTGTAGTTTTGCTCTTTTTCCTACTTTGCCCTTGCTGTCTCAAGGCCACTCACAGCAGGGGCCAAAGTAGAGGGGTGGCATTGGGTGGCTGCTGCCCCCCCTAAAAGAATACCTGTCCACCTCAATGTGGTGTCAAATGCTGTCAAAGTGAACATATTAATTTTCAAATGTTAAAAAATAAATTATAAATAAATAAAATGTATTTAATAGGTACATTTTATACTAAGTTCAGGCTTAAGTTCAATGAAAAAAGGCATACATTTGGTTTGGATAAAAAACAAGGTATTAATTTCTAATGCCACCTTTAGATATTTCTATTCAACAATTTACGAATGTGTGACACAAAACTGTGATTTTATTTTTTTTAAATATCTTCATTTGGTTGTTTTACCAAGCAAATATTGATATATCTGATTGTTAAATTAACAAATATTTCTGCCACCCAATGAATATTTCTCTAGAACTGCCCCTGACTCCCAGAAACCCATTTTCTGATTGGAAAAACTGTAAATTATACCTACTCCACCTGCATTTCAGGTCCCTGTCAACCAACTGCCAGCATGTTCTGCTTCGTACTACTCCTGGCTGCACTTATCCTGCCAACAGGTAAGAAGGCTTCACAACTCAAACGCAGTCATACTTACTCGTATGTTGAACTTACTCCCACTGCATACAACCAGTATAGGCTCCAGGAAGTTATTGTGTCCTTACGATATAAAATAGTATGGCACATAAAATGTAAAATTCCGATTGGTTCTTTTAACAATTCATTTTTTGTACGGATTGAACAAACACACTATCATGTGTTGTAAGCAGATTTTGTTACCAAAATTGAATGTTGGAGCCAGGCTAACTGTTTCCCCCTGTTTCCAGTCTTTATGCTAAGCTAAGCTAACCAGCTGCTGACTCCAGCTACATATTTAGACATATCGAGTGTTATCAATCCTCTCTCCTAATTTTCAGCATGAAATGCATTTGTGTGATCTAGGTGTCACTCTTTGTTTATTGGTGTAAGAACACATATTTTGTGCACAAAGCATGTGTCTCCATATCTTTAGGTACTGATGCAACAAACCAGACATTTACCAGTTCTGGGGAGATGAACATCACCTCGTGCCCAATCACCTATTATGGCCAGAAATATGACAAAGTTTATGTGAGTAATATAAACTCTAATTTTTAAGATATATGCTGGTCTACACCTACTGACTGATGTTCTCAAGTTTAAACCAGTTAAGTGAACAAAATTCTCTGACACACTAGCTAATTTTTGTCTCCATGCATCCAATGTAAAGCTAGTTAAAGGGCCTTTGATGTTTAGATGCGTGTGGTACTGCTGCAAGCCATAAACTCTGTATTTGGTCTTTTCAATTGCATAAATAACACAATTCAGTACTTTTGCACTGACTTGAACATGGTGCTAGTTTAGTCTTGCCAATGAGTCATGAGTCACAAAATGTGACCAATATGTATCTCTTTCAGTATGTGTCAGAAGTTGTGATGGCTAGATGACATGCATTATGACCACCAGGGTGCCCAGGAGGTCATAATGTTATGGCTGATCGATGTATATTGTATACACCGTGATGGATGACTATAGAAAACGGTGTAAAGCAAGAATTTCTTGTTGTACGTGTGTTGCACGTAGTTGTTGGATGGCAAGAAGCCAGACTGTTCTCCTTTAGAACAACTCATGACCAAATTTGGATTTTCTCCTCTATGAAAAATGTATCACCTGTAAGGTTGATATGGCTCCAGCTCTCACATGGTACATGCAGAGACAAAGACGTGGCTCCAAAATGAGAGAAAAACTAAATAAAAATAATTATTGAAATTAACATACAATGACATCATTAAAGGTCCAGTGTGTAACATTTAGGAGGATCTATTGTCAGAAATGGGATACGATATTCATAGGTATGTTTTCATTAGTGTATAATCACCTGAGAATAAGATTTCTTTTGTGTCGTTACCTTAGAATGAGATGTTTTTATCTATAGAGGGAACGGGTCCTCTTCTCGGAAGTCTTCAAGATTAAACTATTCTTCTTACAATGATTTACTGGTTTTATCTCTGTGATTTTTGAACAGGTGGCCTTCAATGCTAACATATTTGCAGTTTGCTTCAATGGCTTATACAAGCCTGGGGTCAAAAATGACTGCATTTTGATGTCTGGGGGGACAGCTGACAGAGGTGACCTGGCAGTTCTGACAAAAAAAATACCCACTGGCTCCGGGATTCATAAGCTTCTGCCAGACATTAAGAATGCTGGGAAATGTGTGAACATAATACCTTTAAAAGACAGTCAACAATCTCAAGTGAGTGTTTTTCAATTTCATTTCTGTGGATTGTTTTCATTTACTGTCAGTTGTTTTTATTGTTTTTTTTTAATGAAATAATACATAATACGTAATAAGAAGGGATATTTTAGATCATAGCCTGTTCTAAAAGCTTAATAGTCTCCCTGTCCTCTCCATTTCCTGTTGTCAGATTGAACAAGTTGAACTTGGGAACTTTGGGACACAAGCAATTCTGGCGATCAAGACATATTCTGGGTACACCAATGTTGATGTTGTAAGTAATATTTAGAGAAATATGGATGGTCTGTTACATTTATTTTGAGAGTGTGATGTGAGTTGGTGGATAGTGAGGCAAATCAAGAGCTACGTCCCAATTAAGGACCTCAACGTATATATATATATATATATATATATATATACATATATGTGTAGTTACTATCTGATTACGTTATTACCCAACAGTGGTAGTTTCCCAGAGTCTTGTTTGTGTTTTAATCTTTCTATATTAATTCTTTTATCTCAGTTATAAACTTAGACAGTTACTATGTCTATTTGGCACTTTCTAGGAGGCAGATTCACAAGTCAATGGCCTTACAGTTTTTAAACAGAAATTCCACACTAATGAAACAAAGAAGGGTGTCATAACAGACGTGAGTGGATGCAGACTCTCAGGTGAGTAAATCCAGGGATTCCTAAAGTACAATTATAGGCCTCAAAAGCGAAACGGGATGATTCTAAATTGCTGTTATTTGATTGGCTTACAGTTTAAACTATCCTTGTAAACTTTTTCCAACAACTAGGTTTTGTTTATAAGACAAATACGACAGTAAAGGACCCAAACATCTGCTCTACTGTAACCTGTGATGTGAGTGGAGTTGCTACTGCCGTCAGTGATTGTGGCCCCATGGAGCTTTGCCAGGGAAATGGAAGGTAAATATTTGAAGACATGGTACAAAGGAAAAACTTGATGAGGATTTTTGGTCCTATTTCTTGGTACTGTATGTTGAGTTGATTACATGATTGCTAACACAATATTTAACCAAATACTTTTACAAACTAAGCTTATGGGTAGTGCAATTTTCACATTAAATTGTACAGAGAACATCTGGGAAAAAATGACATTTCAGTTATCCTGTTAGGGTCCTGTGAGCTCGGAACTCTGGGCCTTAAACCCCTGTTGGTTGCTTTGAACTGTGTTTTTACTCTGCTATAAAAATGTTTATAGTTTCTATATATTATTCTTTTATCTTCAGTGCTTCCAGTTTTTTTGTCTTTACTAAACACTGATGGTGTTATTTTCTATTTGTACCTGTCTCTCCCCGTCTGCTTCAGTTGCATTTTGAACACCATGTGCACTGTGACCAGCTCCACAGTCATTGATTTCCTTGGCAGAGTCCACTCTGTCCCGGACAGGTGTGGGTACACTCTGATGAGGCCCTCGTCGATCCCGGACTTTCAGGTGCTGGGGGTTTTCCAGGAAAGACGCCGTAAAGATGTTAGTTTTTTGGACCGTGTGATACTGCAGTTGGGCACAGAAGGTGTTCAGATTTTCCTGGAACAAGGTGGCAGAGTTCAGGTAAGTCAACTGCTGCCACAATAGCTCTGGTAATGTATTAGTGTGTCAAATAATGTAGTTACTTTCAGAAATGACCACATGTTTTAGATACATTCAGTACACTACAGGCAGGGGCTGAGTAAGGTGGTCATGGGCCCCTAGGCTACCAATTTGTGGAGCCCCCTACCACTGTATATTATTTCCAACAAGTTTCTCCCACACGTTATCACATCATGTAGTAGTTTTAAAACTACTATAGTACAATACAGGGCCATTTACAGAAGCTAAGCAGCGTATTACTTCCATTCAGCCACGAGAGGGCAGACCACAGCACTCTATGGTCTGTGCCAAAAATACAGTGGCAGCTTTGTACATGCATTTGATGCTATCTGCCCCTGCTGAGAACATGGTTTTTGTGTATTTGTGATGTTTAAATAAGTGTTTCACTTTGCTCCTTTGCTGTGATGTAGCTGAATGATACCGTGTTGAATCTCAACGCCACAGCTCAGGTGGTCCACGGTGTGGAGCTCTCAAAGGACCAGACAGGAGTGACTGCTAAAATATCAGCCTCCAACCACACAGTTTCTGTCCTCTTTGATGGCTACACCACATTAATCCACATGACAGGTGCACAAAAGTTAAAGGTGATCTAAAAGCTGTAATAAAATTGTGGGTCATATATCCCTCTCCCCTTCCCCATACATAGAGAATTCCTCCACATGAGTAATGGCAGTTGGAATTGTTTTCCTGGACAATGGCAGCTTTCTCCTTACAGATGAGAAAAAATGACAGTAAAGGCCTTCTATCCCCAAACTGATTAGGCCTCTGCTCAGGTTAAAGGTGAGCAGAGCTATGCTAGGAATTGGTGTAGTGTCAAATTTGTCCAGCCCCCAAACAGATAAGACAGAGGTAACAAGAGCGTTAGCGAGAGGTTTGTCAAGCAGAGTCTTTACACACCCACACAGTCCGGGGAAAACTCTAATCAGCCTAAAATAATTCAAATCAATTGTGTGGGTTAATCACACAATTAATCCGCTCAGGTTTTTTAAAAATGTAAATCAATACCACATAGGGTTGGGCAATATCATTGAATTTGGTTTAAGTAATAACAGGTCCAGAATTAAATATATTTATTTAATTAAACTTTATCAGCAGTCTCATTGAGATTAAGATGGATAATATCAATGCTCAAAACCAGATCTGTAGTATTATTACTTAGGTACTGATCTGCTCCCCCCTACTGGGAGGCCTTATCTCCTGTTAAAATCAGTGAATACCAGCATTGACTGCGCTGCTCTTTGTGTTCTCTCCCTAAACTGTCCAGGACCAAGTGCAGCATCCGTGCAGGGTTTATGTGGTAGTTACAACAGGTCTGTTAGTGAAGAGCAGGTCTCTAAATACAGTGCCAGCGGGTAAGACCTTAATTACTCATGCTCATTTGAATGAATCAACTTCAAATATACTGTATTTTTAGTATTAATTTGTTGGTCAGTCTTAGATTTTTTTGTTCTTTGTTGCCCATAGCTGTGAGATGCAGTATAATGATACTGCTGATGGTACAATCAACTGCAACACTACAACTGAATGGTAAACAAATTTTAACGCTCTTTTGATTTATAAACAGGCAACATTAACCTCTGTAGCGTGCTTCATCACATTTATTATGTGGTGGAAATTAAACTCACAATATCTTGTTTATTCTATGTGCCTTACTGTCCTTGATGACTGAACTTTCATGTCACATTTTCACAGGTGTAATATCCTGAAGCAGCCTCCCTTCACTGCTTGCAACATCAACCCAGAGCCCTTCATAACTGCCTGCACACGCACTTTGTGCAAATACCCTACAGTGGATGGTCTCAAGTGCCAGTTCTTGGAGGCCTACGCCAGGGCCTGCAGCCTGCAAAACAATGTTACGGTGGAGAACTGGAGGTCAAACACCAACTGCCGTGAGGATGTCTTTCAATATCTTTGATTGTGTTTCAAGATGACCTTATAGGCCTGATATCAACTCCTACATTGTGCTGAATAATAAGAACTTGTTTAAAGCACCTTCCATCTGTAGATCTTTGTATTTAGCTTAAGGGTAAATTATATTTTGGTAATTTAAAAATATTTGCTTTAAAGATTTCTTTGTTGGATAGCTAATTTCTCTAGATTGCAGAACTTTTACTTGTCTGTAGAAATTCTTTGTGGTGTAAAAAATACACACAAAAATTCACAAAATAAAAGGTGCTGGCTATGCTGTAGCATAATATTACTATTTTAAGACGGATCAAATGAGTGCTAACAGGATTTGATTAGCACCTATGTGAAATTCATCTTATTCTCAGATTGCCCTATTTATCATCATTCAATCAGGAAGCCATTTGTTTCTCAAAAGCAGCTTTTCTTTATGCCTTTTTAAATGGAATGTATTCCTTCATTCGTCTGTCTGTCTGTCTGTCTGTCTGTGTGTTTGCAGCTGCTGTCCCTCAGGCCTTCTGTCAGGACAGGTTCTGCAGTGCTCATGAGTTCTGTGGTGAGAAGAATTACGGTGGGGAACCTCGCTGCCTCTGTCGGGCCATTTTTGCCTCCAAGTACAGATCAATGAGCACTTTTGGTGAGTCAGCTATAACACAAGAACATCACAGTTGTTTCAACTTCTATTTCCACTGACCTCACATCCTTTAATTGAAAGTTACATTGGTTATTGCTGTCTTCTTCCATTATACTCATTAGGGTGAGTGTATAATCACCTGAAAATAATGAAAATCGTTATGTTTTTATTACCTATTTGAACCACTGTAAAAACTAGCTTTTATTTTCTCATATTTACAGCCTATAGCTGACAGACAAGTATTTATTTGACTTGCACCGTAACTTCACTGGGCCACATGTGGAGCTTTGGGACAAAACAATTATAATTATGAGTTATTAATCCTCCCAATCTTCTTTCATGCATATAATAAGAATTAATTCATTAAAAAGAGATCAATGTTAAAATACACAAAACTCTTAAAGAGTCTTTTAAAGGACCAGTGTGTAGAATTAAGGAGCCTCTATCGGTGTAGTTGCTGATTGCAAGTCGTTTGCTTCACCGTCCCTTTCCAAGCATGAAGCAGAAACTATGATAGCCGCAAAAATCACAAAAATGCTAATGACCCTACCTACTGGCAGTATTTGAGTTTGTATGTTCAGGGCAATTTATGAATATGGAAGGCGAACTGTGGCATCTGTAGATAAATAATAATTGGAAGTCATTTGGACAAAAGCTAAGTTAAAATAATGTTTTGTAATGGGTTTTCAGGTGAGCCGACGGTCTGCGGGCAGACGTCTGCTTCGGTAAGTCTGGCTAATTGTCTCTTGGAGGAACAAAGCATCAACTACTCCGTCTTACACCTCAATGACCAGGCCTGCAAAGGTGAAATGGACAACCTGACCCACATGGTGACGTTCACCTTCGACAGTAGCAGCAACACTTGCGGTGCAGTGGTCATGGTAGGTACTCCCTTCAGTTAGTTAGAATATAAAAATGAATAGGTTAGGTGAACCTGAATGTGCAGTAACAATGTGCCTGCCCATGTGACCATTTAGGTAAACAAAACCCACATTACCTACAAGAACACCATCATGACACAGAACTTCTCCACGTTTGGCTTTATCAACCGTAACGCCAAAGTGCATATGGACTTCTCCTGTTGTTACAGTCAGCCTGATGTCAGTAACTTGGCCATCAAACTCAAACACAGGTGTGTGGTGGGGGAACAGTACTGTATGTAGTTCCAGAGTTGTCCCCTTTCTGTTACCAAGAGAAGGTAGACTGAGCTTCACTGTGTGCCGAATGAAGCCTAGCATATTTAAGAAGATGTTCTTGCTTTCCAGCGCTGTGATCCAGCAGATTACTTCTGGAGAATGGAATTACAATCTGACCATGAAGGCTTACACAGACTCTGAGCGCTTGGAAGCTATCGAGCCAGGCACCGACATTCAATTGGATGAGACAATCTGGGTGGAGCTGAAGACAGACGGGCTGGATGAAAACTTGGTCCTTTTGGTGACTGACTCTTGCTGGGCAACTGATCAGCCTTCGCCAAATGGAACCCTGAGATATAACATCATCATCAATGGGTAAGACACACAGAGATGCTCATAGTGATTAAACCTGTGTTTGTTGTGGCTGGCCTGTCATGTCTGCTTTCCTGTTTTTGAGCAGCTGTCCTAACCCTGCTGACCAGACGGTGAAAGCGGAGGGCAATGGACTGAGAACGTCCAACTACTTCGCTTTCAACTCATTCCAGTTCTCTGGCAAGACTACTGACGTCTACCTGCACTGCAGAGTTGAGCTGTGTGTCAGGCAGGATAACACCTGTGCACCGGTATTCACATTTCCCTAATATATTCACTAACCATAAAAATTAACAGTTTCTATTTGGCAGGGTCCCAAATAGACGCAGGCCTCCTTTTATAGCCTGGTGTGGCTAGACGTTTTAACAAATAAACGCCAGTCTCCAAAAGAGGCCTGATCTGGATTTTATAGAAATTATCTGGATGAATAAAACTAAAACGTTTAAGCCGTTTAGCTTGCCTACACATATGTAAATGTTTCAACTTTTGTCAATATGGACTGATCTCACAATATGTAGCATTCATTAAATCAAGTAAGAATATAAGCAAGATTTTTTTACTGAGCATCAGGTATGGATCACTGTTGGGCCTCAAAAACCTGTGCTGATCTGACCCTAAAACTAAATTTGTGTGTCCATCAACCACCTCTCAGAGCTGCAGCCAGGCTGAAAGAAGGCGCAGATCTGCCATGTCAAAATCTGAGGATGAAAACCCTGCCTTCATCACCATGGTCTGGACTTCTTAGGTAAGTGCAACTCTCCTGCTGATTAATGGCATCAGTGCAGATTTCCAGATCATCAATGGCTTAGGAAAACATCATCCAATGGATTTTTAAATGGTTTATTTAGCTTAAAGAGTAGGGTAAGAGTAGGTAACGTATCAGCCAAATACCCAATCACTAGGGCTGCCCCCAAATAGTCTACTATGTTAGTCAGTGAGAACAGTCAAATCGCTTTTCATTAATTGGATAGTCGCAGAAAAACAAAAATAACATCAAACTCAGGGGATTGTTGCAACACAGACCTGTTCTCTCTTGTAGCACAGGAAGTCACCTACCAGTACACTGCTGCATGTACTAACTGTAGCCTACTAACTGTCATTAGCTACTTAGCGGTCCTATTAGCTGACTCTACCGAGGCTGGTGACTCGTATGACGGGAGTTTGTCTACATTACCAGCACTGAAGCTTTGGGCTGCCAGAGGGGAAAGATGCTGGGCAGTAGGTCCGGAATGAGCACCAGAATCAAATCCGGGCAAGCAGGGCTAAAAGCCTGTGAAACCGATGGCCAGGTGATTTACAGGGGCTTTTCTCGGGCCCCTGTACCAGCCCCTGACTTTAACTCCAGGGGTTGATGAAGACATGGCGAGTTCAAGCGGGGATAGGAGAGGTGTGAAGCAGGAGATGAGTGAGTTTGTAGGGACTGAATTATTATATATTAATAAGTCAGCGAGTATTTGTTTTTGTGAAGTTATTTATTCCGTGTTAAACAGTGTGATTTGTGTAGTGTTATACTGTGTTGAAATAAATGAAGTGTTCAGTCTGCTGGTTGTTCTGACTCTTTCAGAATTACCGCTTTTTCCATAAAAGAAAGGAAAATATAAATGAATATCAACATGAAATAACTAGCCCTACTTATCACCAAAAATAATTGATTCCAGCCATTTTTCATTTGCCTGCTGTTTTGGAGAAGACACATCTGTGTTATGTAGGGATTAACAATTAACCATTACTTGGATTTGGTCTTCTTAGGTTTCCATAAAGATTTGGACTGACCAACGAACAAGATGATTCCTGGTTGGCTTTGTCCTAATGAAGAGCCTGGGATCAGTTATCACTGCTATTAATATTTGCTAACACATATAATTGTAATAATCACACACACACTTATCTTTCTCTGGCAGTAATTGTGTTTGATCTTTTTTGGGGTTTCTGTTGTGGTTTCTCCTGAGATGGTGAAAAAGATTTCTGAAATATTGAAAATTTGATTAGCATTAACTGTGGGCCAGAAAGAAATCAGTAGCTAATATTTGTAAACACATAAACATGGATGCTGTTGTATGTTTCAGTGGAATATGTGGCTTTCTTAGTAATTTACAGATTATAGACAAAACATATAATGTAGACATTCAACGTTTATCGTATAAGGTTTTTGTAAAGATGCATATCAATGATTGGGGCAGTCCCATCATGTTCCTGGTTTTGTTGTGATTGTTGGAACCCAAAAAGGACTGAATTTTCAGGGGGGTTTTTTGGTGTTTGCAAGCATTCTGACCAGGTCTAGACAGATTGAAAGGTTTTGCAAACAAAGTGGGAATCATTTAACATTGCTACTTTCAGTGTTTGGCCTCAACAAAACCAAAATATTCTGTATGCTTTATCTACCTTTATTATTATAGTGTAGAATCAATAAAAAGCATAAATGTATTAGAAAATTAAATGAACTTTGTATTTTTTCAATAACTCAATCACAGGCCTATTGTCTTCCTTATAGTTATTTATACGGATACACCGATTGAGAAATTCTGGGCCGATACCAATGTTTTTTGTTGTTTATTCTCCTTTTTGTGCCAGGTAAACAAAGAAATCTACAAAGATAAGCATCTCTGCCTAGTTGCAGATCAGTCTATTTCTCTTCTCATCCAAGATGTGAGACATACTGATGTTCAGCTGACATATCGGTGCATCCCTAGTTTTTTCTGTGCCCTATTTTCATGGTGGCACAAGAAGCATCACCATGAACTTTGCTTGGCCCGTCTCTCTAGTATTTTCAACCACAGTACACAGGTGGGAAGAGAAGAGCAAACAGGAGGGAACTTAGTTCAAATGAGGCAGTGAAAACCAAATTTAAATTTTGTATTTAGTGGCACAATGTCAGTCTGTTGCCAATCTGATGATATTGTCCACAATATCAAAGTAAATACATGGAGCAAATGCGCAGACATGTTTAAAATGTGAATAACTATTTTACATTATTACTTTAATCACCAAACACTAAATGTGTTTAAATACTGCTAAGCACTTAACGTGGTTAAAGCTGGAACATCGGGAAGGGTTTCTTCTGTGGAAATCGCAGGCTTCTGCTCACAAAATTTTCTAATTCCTTTCTGCACTAGAAAGTGAGAAAATTAGAATTAGAAATTAAGCTGCAAGCAGCAGTGAATGGGCCCTCTCACTCCACGCAACTCTGGGTGTGCTGCGTCCGCGTCACGTGCCGTCGTAACACGTGCGGACCACAACATTTAAATTTCACGGAAATCAGATCAAAATTGCCATGCAGTGCTTACTTCCTGTTGCCAGTAGATGGCGCTCTCTCTATA